CTTTTAGAATTTTTGATCAAGGAAAAATAAACACCAGTGAATTTTGTTATTAGCATGCACTGCATTATGAAGCCTGGTGAGAGCAGGTCCCCAAATGCATTTCCGGTGGAATTAGTTCACATTTCTACTTCTTTAGGTGGGTCAGTTTATATTTAACTACCAACTCTTTGTTGAGATGGGGTTGGTGTGACAGGAACTTAAATAATGTAAGAATTTCAATACATAATGTCATAAAGTGCCAAGAATCATTTGGAGTCGAAATTTTCATCTCTGTTTCTGGAATGGATAGCCTCCAACTTTTAGTAAAAGCCCAAACCTCTACTATTAATCAGGAAGTATTTCTCACAGTTTTGGGACCTTACGAGGAAAATACACAAGTCTCTCTGAAGGCATCTGTGATTCACACCTCTGATTTTAACCTGAAAAAAGGGGGGGAAATAAGAAGCATCCAAAATTTGGGAGACAATTTAATTCAGCTATGAGGAGGACTACCTATGGTGATATTTTCTAATCTGGCACACTTTGGTGTATATGTACATATATTTTTTTCTTCTGTGGAAGACAAGTGGGGGCTCTAAGGATGTTCTCAGGTAAAATTGGCAGCTTCCATTTCCCTGAGTGATAGATCAAATTCTCCACCTCCAACAGAGAAACTTCATGTCTCTGCTGGGCCATTGAGGAAATCACCCATTAGAAGTTCAAAACCTTCTGAAAGTCCTACCGGACTCCAAGGTCCAAAACAAAAAGGAGGATGAAGGCTTCCTTGTTTCCCCAATTCCGGCTTCAGCAACCTCAAAGTGAAAATAAGGCCTTACCCCATTCCATCTCAAATCATAGCATTAATGCCTCTAGAATGAAGAACAGTAACTAGTGGGCTTCTGCAGGGCCAGTATTATTCAACATTTTTATTAATGATCCAGATAATAGGACTGATGGGTTGCTTATCAAATTTGTGGATGACACAAAATTGGGAAGTCTGGCCCACACCCAGGATGACAGAACAAGATTCAGTCTAATCTGATTGTTGGAAGACTGGGCTAAGGGGAACAAGTTTGTCCTTTTAACAGGGAGAAATGTAAAGTATTACATTTAGGGAGAAGAAATGTAGGACACAGATACAGTATGGAAATTTTGTGGCTTGGAAACACTACATCTCGGACTTGGGTGTGGCCATTGACAACAAGTTGAATGTGAGTCAGCAGTATGAGAAAGATGTTACAAGGACTAACACAGTTCTGGGCTGCATCAGAAGAAACATCTTACAAAAATATGAAGTTATTATTCCTCTGTGCTCATCAGTGGTGGGACCACACCTAGAATGCTGTGTACGATTTTGGACATCACAGTTTGACAAGGGTGTTGGCAGGTTAGAACAAGATGAGAAGAGAGCAACCAGGATCATACAGGGGCTTCAGGACATGCCCTCTGAGGACAGGCTGAAGGAACCTGGATGTTTTGTCTGAAAAAAAGAAGACTGAGGAGAGACGGTATCAGGTTGAGGTACATGAAAGGATGCCATAGGGAAGATGATCAGGAACTATTTTCCACTGCTACAGAAACTAAGACCAGGACTAACAGTATAAGTTGCATCTACCTAGATTTCAATTAAATGTAAGGAAGAACTTACTGACAATAAGATCTTTCCGACAGGCAAACAATCTACCTATGGAGAATGTGGGTTCACCATCTTTGGAGGTTTTGAAGAAGAGACTGGACAGCCACCTCTTATGAATGGTTTAATTAATTTTCCTGCACATTGCAAAGGGTTGGGTTAGATGATCCTTGTAGTCCCTTCCAACTCTACAATTCTATGATTTTACACTTAATCCGGAAACTGCAGCTGATATTGAATGTGGCGGCCAAATTACTGAGTTGCCAATATCTGTGTTACACCTCTGTTGAGGCCCTTGCACTGGCTGCCACTCAACTATTGATTTTTATATAGATATGCCCTTAGATAGCTTGGAACAAGGATAACTGATAGACTGCCTCCATGTTTATTGACCTGGTCAGTTACTAAGATCATCAGAAGAGGTGCCAGGATTAAGGGAATGTATCTTTTGGCTGCTTATAGGTGACTCTTACCTAATAAGTCCCAAAAGAACCTACAGGTAATCCTCGACTTATGACCGTGCGTTTAGTGACTGTTCGAAGTTACGATGATGCTGAATGAAGGGACTTACTACCAGTCCTCACACTTATGACCATTGCACCATTCCCTGCAGTCCTGTGATCAAAATTCAGGCATGTATTTATGATAGTTGCAGCATCATGGGGGTCATGTGATTGCCATTTGCAACCTTCCCAAGGGGCTTGCAACAAACAAAATCAATGGGGAACCATGTGATTCACCTAACGACCATGATGGTTCGCTTAATGACTGCCCCAAAAAAGGTTTTAAAATTGGGTCCAGTCATGTGATGATTTGCTTAACAACCAGATCGCTTAGCGACTTAAATTCCACTTCCAATTGTGGCTGTAAGTCTGAATAGTTACATCTTTTAAGCACCTGATGAAGTCCTCTTTCTGTCTCTCCACTCAAGCCTTTCATGCATGAATATTAATGGCTGAATGATTTTTATGTTTATTGTAGTTTTTCTTCCCCCGCCCACCGTCTTTTTCATTGTGCATGGTTTTATATTATTTTTTATTTACTGCTTTTATGGTTCTTTTGCATGTTGGAAACTGTTTTGAGATGCTTTTTTATAGGAAGGAGGCATTTGCATTGTGTGATTCATATTTTGTAAGTATTACAGTGTCAGGGTTTCCTGATCCTCGTGACTGCCCAAACCCTTTGACAAAGCTCCAGAACTGGGGCAGCTGATGTACTGATGATCTGCTCTTGCCTATCTGTGGCCAGCTGCTTTGGTGGCTTCCTGGTTAATCTTCTGTTTGTCACAGAATAAAATCCTTGCTGTGGCAATTAATTGTGATGCCACTTAACCAAGGGATTAGGGTTTTCACTTGGGTAATGCATAATTGAAATTGGCATAGTATTAAAGTATCAAGAGCTATTTGTTATACAAGCCTTCCTGGTATGGAAAACATTGGCCTAAAGATCTGACGTGCTTTGAAAAACGCTGCAACAATGAGTAATTTTCCAGGGTTTTCATCTTCAACTGTTCAGAGACAGGGAATGGAGAAACCGTAAAAATAGGAGTTGTTGAATCAAAAGCCAGCGCTATGAAGCATAGGCAGTATGCAGCTGGGACAATTTTTCTTGTCACTATGAACGTGTGACGGGGTGCAATCACATTTCGCAGACAGTTGCAATTGATGTGCTTTCAGGGAAGCCAAAGATCACATTTTTTTCCCGGAGACAAAGCTGTGGCAGTTTGATAGGTGGAGAAATTGTAACATGTCGCAAAAGAGGCTCTGCTTTTTAGGGAAGCAAGAACAACCTGCTGAGAAGGTCTCAGTTACCTTCTCAGAGGGCAGAGATGTTGCAGGCTCAATCATGTAAGGAAAATGAACCACCCTATGCATGGTTTCTCCAACTGAACAATTGATTGCAGTTGCAGAATGGGGTTGGGGAGGTACATCCTTTTAATACTTGCTTGGCCACAGAGGAGCGGAGCGATCGTTCTTCCGTGCAGCCCCAATTTTCACCCCTGGAAACACTCAAAACAGGCTCAAATTATCCTATTTTGAACACATTATGTGAAGACCCAGCTCTCTGGAAAACGCTGTAATGCCAGGAAAGGTGGAAGGGAAGAGAAGAGGAGGACGACCAGCAGCAAGGTGGATGGACTCAGTTACAGCAGTGATGGGTACAGCACTGGAAGACCTGAAGGACCAGCTTGGGGGCAGATGGTCATGGAAAACATCTATCTATGTGGTCGCTAGGAGTTGAAACCAACTTGATGGCACGTAATCAATCCCCCCCCAAAATGCTCACACTGGTCCACAGTGCGCCACCATTGCCATCACCACTGTTGTTCTTGCAGAACTGAAAACTGCTCCCCTTCTCATCAACACTCTTTCTAACTGGCTAATGGTGGACTGCAAATCTCAAGAGATAGCTACACCCTCCCTCTGCGCTTGTTCTTGCAGTGATTAACAAAGCATTGGCTTACTGGTGAGGGGGAGACAACATTGTCCCTCCCCAACACACATTAAAAAGACCCTCAGAAAGGCGCCGTGTCCACAGGGTGCTTTATACCCTACAAGTGGAAGGAAAGACTGGGTGAAGCGAGAATGTCTATCTGTGGGAAATGCAAGACCATTGCTTATGTGTGAAGTCCCCACTGGGCCTAGATTCAGCTCCCCTATCCATCTCATGGTTATTGCAAGAGAAACAGTCCTGGGTTTAAGATTGCACTGGTGAAGAAGCAGCATGTTCTAGTGAGTGGGCCTGGAGGCAACTGTGAAGGACATCCTGCAGCATCCCTGAATGTTTAAAGAAAGGAAATCATGTCTTTACCTCCTTCCCTGATGTTGAATCATGTGGTCCTGAAATTAGTTGTTGAAGTCCCCCTCCACCCTATTTATTGTTCAGTACCCCCCCCCCCTCATGTCAGGGCAGACCAAAGTTCTAAAGGGGGAGTTCCCGTGCCAGTCAAACTAAAAAAAATGGCAGAGAAGAAGCTGGATTCTTCCACAGCTGCTTTCTTGAACCATTTTGATGAACCTCTTCAAGGTCTTCCATACGCTGTTTTCCCACGACCTGGGTAATCCATTTGAAGGTGATCCTTTGGACATTTATTGGTGCTTTCTTCCTAGCCAATTCTTTTTCATGAAGCCATGTCTCCCTGCCTTCACTTTATCAGGGTCTGTCTCAGAGTGAAAACCAAACCTGTCAGTTTTATTCCACTTATTTGGCATGTTTGATTCTGTAAGGAGATGCATCCAGACAGTAGACTGCAGCTTAAACTTGACTGCAACAATTTGCAGTCCCTGTTTGTTCACTATATGGGACCCAGGCTATTGTATAATCCAGGGTTTCTCAACCTTGGCAACTGTAAGATATCTGGACTTCAGCTCCCAGAAATCCCCAGCCAGCAATGCTGACTGGGGAATTCTGGGAGCTGAAGTTCAGACATCTTAAAGTTGCCAAGGTTGAAAGACCCTGGTCTAATCCATTTGACCCCAGAAAGTCGAGTTTATACTGTTGGCAGGGTCTTTGCTAGGAATGAAGAGACCACAGGATTTCAGACTTTTATAAATGATTGCATTTTTTTTCAGCCTGCATCTCTTTTTCATTCAGGACTAAAATGTATTTAAGTATAAAGTTTGGAATACACTTGATGTGTGCATGTGTGTGTATCCTTGAACGTATTTTCTTCTAAAGTCTGTGTGTTTCTAAATATGCATATGTATTTACTTTACAAACCTTTTGTACATTTTGGAGGGGTCTGAAAACTGCACCACAAAATTGCAAGTAGACGATTCCAAAGATTGGCCCGGTATTGGGTTCAGAGCCAAGGCAGTAGAGTCCAGGAACCTCAAGCCAAGGAGATGGTGATCAGCAAGCAGAACGTAGGGGCAAAAAGTCTTCCTGAGGTCTAAGGGCCAGATTAACCAGTGTATTGTTATCGGAGTGCTCTGTAGTCAGATGTGAGGCTTTCCCAGGCTCTGATTTCAGCTGTACATGGCTCATAGTCCCAGATCCAGCTGGCCCATGGGGGTCAGTGGTTTTACAGGAAACCCGCCGGCGTGGAAGTTGGCAGTGTGGAAGAAAAGCACGGGAAGGCCCTTCTGTGATATTCCAAGTGGGTCATGTTCGGAGCAGGACTCCTGCTTCATTCGCACCCCACCTTTCCTTTCCTGCTGTGGTTGAGTCAGCCTTTAGGGAAGTTCTGGCACATCCTCCTGATACTGTTTCGGTTTCTCCTTTCCTCTCCAGTTCCTGACATTGTGCGTAACATCCCATCCGCACTGCTATCCTGACCGCCAGTGCTTGGCCCTCCTTACACTATTGTGTCGGGTCAGCCTGGACAAGAATCTGCGGAAACAGCCCCTGATGGACCTCCAGCAACTGCTGCTGGTCCTGCTTGAAGGCATCCAGGGGTGGCAGGAAAAGGTAAGGTCTGTATAACCGAGCCGCCATTTTTTTTCTCCTGAGCCTGCTCGCGGCAGCCCCTGCAGGGGGAGGCAAGGGGGCCACAGCGGCACGGTTAGTATCAACATGCAAGTCCACCTGTGCCCCAGAGGGGCGGAGCTCACATCACGACAATGCAATGCTGCTTTGGTCATTCTGGCGAAACCGGAAAGAGCCTGCGGACTCCCCCGCCTCTTCTTTTGAACAACAAGCCAGCCCCAAAATTTAGCGGATGCCACTTCTGTTCCTGGAAAAACTTAACTTAGTACCTTTAAGTTTGTTTGCACTTAAGGACCCAAGAGCAGAAGAAGGCAACGTTATCTGCATCAGCAGGATGAGATGATGAGATTTGCCACAATACACATTGGATTATTCTAAAGAGAAGTTGCTTACACAAGGAGTCTGAGACAAGATGGATTCTCCATCTGGCCGCCCACCCTCACCCGCTTCCAGCTTCTCAGTAGGATGAAGATGAAAATCCCTTTAGACTATCTTAGCAGACAAAGTGCTTTCCGTTTGGTGTTAAGTGTCAAACAACCGATAGATTCCCATTTCTCCTCCTGAGATCTCTGTTCTTTTAACAGAAAGAAAAATGATGGGGGGAAGCTTCGTGTATTTAATTTATTCCATCATAAGGCAGTTAGAGGAACAGGAACCCAGCGAGAATTTTAAAAAAGTCCCGGCATAAGTTGGAAATTCTGCCACAAACCCTTTGAAAGGATGTTCAGGGTGACACAGAGGAGTCTGTTGTGGGCACCTAGATAGCATTGCTCAGAATCTGCAAAGTACAAGTCTTTTGCAGCGGCTGGAAAATTACCCCATGAATTCATCTGCACTGTGCAGATGGCCTTTTAAAGTCTGAACATACAGAATCAAGAAATAATATCTCCGGTTGCTCTTTTTCTTCTACAGTATTTCTGTCCTTCCACACATCCACAGTATCATCTTTCAGTCTTCCAAACTGAACGTAGGAAAATTACTTTTGTCACATGGATTATCTTAATCTGGTACTTTGAAATGATAAACTTTCATAGTGGTAGGTCCCATAACGCCGTGGTTACGGACTAATAATATCCCTGCTAACGGAATCTTTAATGTGTAAGTTGTAGAATAATATTAAATAGGAAGGGCAAGTTAAATTCCTTTTGCGCTCCATTTGTGCTTCCTTGAAATCTTCAGAATCCTGCAGCAAAAGGATGTGCTGAAACTCATTTTTAGGGAAATTGCAGTCCATTGGCTTTATACTAGAGGGTTTTTTTCTTATTTTTTTTAGTTAATAACCAAAGAAAAAAGAAAAACAAAACACAAAAGTAATAATACACTATCAAGAAGAAGAAAAGTGCTATTACAAAAAAGTGACAAAACTACAACCAAGGAATAAAAACTTGACATAGTATATCATTATAACAATAAATAGTTACCAACCTATATATATTTATCTAATGCAAATATTCAGATGCATATATATTTCTAATATATTTGTATGACTATCATATTTTTAACCTATTGTATTTTGTATAAATGAGTCCCATATTTCATGATACTTGTCCATACAAAGTCTACGTCTGTAGGCAATCCACTCATAACTGGCAAGTGCAATCAGGTCTTCAATCCATTGAGTGAATGGAGCCATACATTTATCTTTCCAATGCTGCAGTATCAGTCTTTTGGCCATAGTAAGGGCACAGAGGATCCATTTCCATTGTCCAGATGTCAAATTCCACATACTAGGTATATAGTTCAAAAGAAGATTATCCTCTGAAAATTTTAGCTTTTGTCGCACAGTCATATTTATATAGTCCACTACTTTCTCCCAAAACTTACCAAATATAGGACCTTGTAAAAACATAAGCTCTAAAGAGGCATTGTCCTTATTACCTCTCCAACAAAATGCTGTTTTTGACAATCCTTTTCTATACAAACGTATCCTGGAAGTTTGATACCACCTACTGGTGTCCTGCTTTTCTCTGCAGCTCAGCCAATAGGGTCTTCCGTTTAGCTTCTTAATTAATTGCAAGGCATAATAAACCTCTCGTGTAGGCTTGGATTCTGTAGTTCCCCGCAGAGCCTGGCAGAACGGTTGGCATTGCTAGCTCTGGCTAGCTCTGGCATTCCTCGCTCGGCTGAAGTCTCCACCACCTGCTGAGTGGAAGCAGGCACTGTGTTTAGACTGTTTCAGAGCCTTTCCTCCCTAATTTTGAACACAATCCAAGCCTGGAAAGGATCCAGGTGTTTGAATCCATCGGTGGGTTAGCGGCCTGATTGCCATTCATGAGTAGAAAGGCATTGTTCGCCTCGAGGGAGCCTGCTAAGAAGTATGGTTTCCGTCCACACCATGGCATTCATGGGTGCCAGTTGGCTTGCAGACCCTCCCTTGGGCACCCTCCAAGCTCCATGTCCTCCTGGATTTATTTATTTATGGTTTTAATTTAAAAATAATAATAAACAGGAAGCTTTGCGAGGCACAAAGCAAAAGGTGAACCTCGATGGGCCCCAAATAGACCCTCAAGGCAATCGTAAAAAATGAAAACAACAGGTGGCTGCACTCCAGTGTTTTGTTTGGAAGTGTGCCCGTGTAGCTTATGTCGTCAGGAGAGAGAGAGCAAGTGAGCGAGCACAGCCTGGGAGTCCAAATGGAATAGGAGGCAGCAGCTTCACCGGTTTGCCTTCTGGTAGATGGGTGTTTGTTGACACCCCCATGCCCAGTGCAGCAGCCGTTCTCTGGGAATGTCCAGAACATGCTTTCAGAATTCCAAATAGGTCCAGTCTCCCCCCAAAATTGCTGTCTATTGACCTGATCTAATGCCTCTTTCTTCCTGATCAATGATACTCAGTCCACACTTAAAACATTTGGGGTGAGCTAGGTCTGCAGGAAGTTCCGCATCAAATAAGAGAAGATAGCAGAACTCCCAGACTGAGAGACTCTTGATTGCAGTCTTACCCACACTTATATGGGTGTAGTTCCTGTGAAATCAATGGGACTTCCAAGTAAATGTCCATGTGATTTGAGCAGGACCAACCCCATAGGATAGGAGGCTGAAGGTTTCAAACTTCTTCTTGTCCCAAAATTCTCTGGGTCTTCACATCCTAACCCTGCCCTGGAGTAGAGACTTGATTCCTGCTGCCACCTCCTATTTTCCAGTGGGCTGTTTCACCTGATGTCCTCCCCAGTGTGTGACATAGGGCTCCCATATCCTGGTGCCTTTCTAGCAAGAAAAAAGATAAAAATGAAAATAATTGCTCTAGTGCCAATTTCTGACCATATAGCATTGAATCATTGGAGTTGAAGTGTCAGCACTCCTCTGCCCATCCCCCATGAGAGACAGACCAATCTCACAAGAGATAAAGAAAAATCAAACTTTATTTTTTTAAAAAAGTCTATAAAAACCACTTGCTAACTTGAAAATCCCAGAACTGTTAATGTGCAAAGTTGCAGGAGCTAAAGTGTTGGTGTCTCCAATTAAAATCTAGAGCATTTGGCTAATTGAGTAAAGTAAGAAATCCAAGAAACCACAAGAAAGCACTGATCTGTTATAGTTCCCCCAGGCTCTCAATCTCACAGAGGAAATATTCTGTTCTCAAGAGATTTGAAAGAAAGGAAGTATTCTCATGCACAACCTGATATTTGCATAAAAGACCGAAGTGCATTCTCCCTTTGATTGTAAAAGAGTGAAGCTTCTTCGTATCCAGGAGAGGAAGGAGCTGGGCATCAGCCTTTGCTTTATGTGACAGAAGCCATTCCTCCCTCAGCATTAGTGCTGCTTGAGACGAAGGAATACGTGATCCACATCTGGGAAGCTGCCTAGTAAGACCATAAAACTAGGCTGTTACGTTCCCTCCAACCAGTTTTGCATAACCCAGCTATTCATCTCTGAATCACCGAGGATTGCCTTCACCGAGTGTATTTATACAGGGGGAAAAGACCATACATTATTCATTTGCTTTCCATCGGACTTCTAATCCTTGCTCAGCGGAGGTGCCCTGTCTCTCCTTTTTTGCTCAGCAAGCTTTCAAGTAAAAGGCTCTCAAGTGTTAAAATATATATTTTACTTCTGCTGTAAGCTACCAATTGAATCGGAAGTGACTCCACATTTTGGAGACACTTCCACTTCCTGGATGTGTGTTTTTTGCTCTGGGTCCACTGGGACAGCAGGATATTGCCAAGCTGAAATTGTCCACCCCTTCTTCTCCCCAGCTTTAAAGCTAGAGCAGTTTGTTCAGTTCCTTGTTTGCTGCGATAACTTTCATCTCTGCAGTGGTATCTTCTCCCCACAAATGCATATGCAGGTAGTCCTTGCTTAATGATGCTAATTGGGACCGGCAACTCTGCCACTAAGCAAAGCAGTTGCTAAATGGGAAATCATGTGACCCTGACTGTGCTTTCTGGCTGGAAAGAGACAAGACTGCTCAGTTTTACACCTTCGGCTTTTGTTTGCCTCCTAACCACTCCCCTGCCTTTTGGAAGGCTCGAGTGCCTGCTTGCTGTCTTGTACACATCAAAAGCAATGCGATCCTGCCACATCCCGGGGCTGGGAGCCACAGGCGTGCTACACAAGCAGCTTACTCTCTCGAAATCCCTTCTTCTCCAATCTCTCCACTTTGCAGGAGGGGAGAGAAAAAAAGCAATTTCTGAAGGCAATCTCTCCTTTGCCTGTCTCTTTCCTGCTGCTAGTGTGATTGCATTGCTTTTGATGTGTAGAAGAGCAAACAGCTTACTCTCTTGAAATCTCTTCCCCTCCAATCTCTCTGCTCTGCGGGGGGGCGGGATGGTCAAGCAAAGGAGAGATTGCCTACAGAAATCACTTGCTTTTCCTCCCCCCCATCACATAACAGAGAGATTGGAGAGAAAGAGATTTCAAGAGAGTACTGTAAGCTGTTTGCGTAGCCCCAAGCTGCCAGTGCGATCGCATTGTTTTCGATGTGTAGAAGAGCATTCACCTTCCTTTCTCATAATCCCTTTCTCTCCAATCAATCTGCTCTGCAAGGAGGGCGGGGAAGAAAAAACCACAGGTCAGGCCCAGGATAACACATACTGACTGTAATGGGTATCACATGACTGAGGGATGCTGCAATGGTCGTAAATGGGCCATAAAGTTATTTTTTCAGCACCGTCATAACTTCGGTCACTGAATGTATGGTCCGTAAGTGAGGACTACCTGTAAGCAGTTCAGTTTTCCAAAATAATTACATGAAGTAAGCAATCATTCCATCATTCTAGTACTTCCAGTTGTTTTCTCAAAAGTGCAGAGGGCTGATAGGTTGCCACTAATTTATGAACATGGGTAGAAACTGAGCAGTTAGCTTCATTAATCTCCTACAACGATCCGTGTTCTTCAGTTAATTTCACAGCCTTTTATCAGAGAATCCAAATCAATCCATTTCATAATCCCTTCTAGTCAGTTTCCTTTTAACTTCTGAAAGGAGTTTTTGACAGTCTTTTGACTCAAAATCCTATTTTAACAGAAAACCTCAGGCCCAGGGGTATTGGGGGGGGGGGGTCAAGATGGTGATGTGTGTAAAAAAAGAGGTGAGGCTTTGACCGCCAAACTGTGGCCACCATTTTTATATTTTTTGAATTCCCTGTGGACATCCCTGCCAAACTCAAGATGCACACCCATGTGCGCACACACAATGCCTCCAGAAGTTTAGTGTTCTTAGATGGGAAATGTGCATACAGGTAGTCCTCATTTAGTGACCATTTGCAGTTATGATGGTGATGAGAAAGTAACTGCAACCGATCCTCACATTTACAACCTTTGGAGGTCTGTAAAGCAAAGGAAAGTAGAAGAAAGATTGTCAGCACAGTTGCAGTTTCACTTAGTGACCGTTTTGCTTAATGACCGAGAGTTGCCAGTCCCAATTGTGGTTACTAAATGAGGAGTACCTGTATTTCAAAAATGGAAAAATTATGTTGAATGAGAAGGGGGGGGACAATCAGAAAATGTCAACTATCCTCTCCAGAGACAGCTTCCCCTATTGTATTGCAATTATTCATTTTCCCCCTTGACTTTAAAAAAATTGTACCGTTATACCAAATTTTCCCACCATAGCAGATTTTCTGCAGTAAGAATGGTACACAGAAGGATTCCAAGCAGTAAAAAGTTGGCAACTGAATCCCATGTAAAATTCTGTGTATGAAGCATTGGCTGTTAAGGAACTCTGGACAGAATATATAAAATCAAATAAAGGAAGAGAACAATAATATAATGTTGGATGCTGGTCTCCCTAGAGCAGTTTTTCCATTTTATTAAAGAGATGCAGCTTTATTAGAATGTGGGGGTTTGCACTGCATACCAGACTAAGCTAAATGGGGTTGGGTGGTTTGCGGTTCAGTATTTTAGGGGAAACCAGGTTTAGCATGTTGTTGTGAACCAGGCTTTCAGCTGAAGCCCTGATTTGTTTTATTTCTTCGGGTGTAGCATTTTATGAGAATGTGGCCCTCGTGCTTTGTTAACTGAGAATTAGGGTTTAGCGTGTTATGTGAACCCAGTCATAAAGAAGGGAAATGCTATTCAGTGGTGAAAGTATTTGCACAATAAATAGCCTTTCAGCAGAAAAGGTCTTTGAAGCTCAAAAGCTGCTTTCAAAAACCTCTTACCGTTCTATTCTTACCAGTCTGTTTATCTCCATGTTCCTTTTTTATGAAAGTCATCTCTTCCCTTTCATTATTTAGCCTTATTAATCACACAATATGTTTTTGAAAATGTATACGTTAGGACTGTAGGTTGAAAATGCTATAGAATACCGGGTTTTTTTTTTAGAACTGTTTAGAGGAAAAAAGGGGGGGAGAGTAGTGTATACAGAAGAGTTGTTTCACCCAGGTCCACACCAACTGGCATGGACAGAAGGTAGCAGAGGCATACAACTTAAATTTAGAAAGCACCGTACCCTGAGAATTGGGAAGTAAACTGCAAAAATTGAATTGTACGAGTCGTCAGCATCTGGAACTTGTTTCTCAGAAAGCCTTCCATTGGGTATCTCCACTGACTTATCTTTTCCTTAACAGCTGCCAGAATTATGCAGGTCTCTTTGCCACGTCTCGCAGCATCATCACAACTTGGTGGCTGTCGTGCGTTTGTTTCCAGATGCCACAACTAGAGGACGGTGAGTCCATTCTGTGTGGTGACAGCTCTGGATTGATGGGAGGGAAGAGGAGGGCCCCACTAGTGCAAAGCAGAGCACGCGGGGCAGAAACGTCCGTCGCGTGCGTCCCGATTTCATCTGAGCCGGCTACGATTGGTCAGGAAAGAAATTTGGAGCAATCATACAGAAGTCGGTGGAAATACTGGAACAGAAAATAAACACGCCGACTTTGGTAGGCTGTTCCAATCCGTGCGTTGCAAAAAGGAGCTGGGAGATTTGCAGAAAAGGGTAAACAGAAATAGGGAAGGGCTGAAGTTCTTCCAGCACGGAAGGGTTACCGTAGTTTGGGCTTTTTAAACTTAGAGAAAAAGCTGGAGAGGGATGATACTGATTTAAGCAATTAGGAATAGCATAGATAAATGGGAATGCTGGTTATTTTTTTTTCCATCCAGCATAGCTGAATCCTGGGAGATCAGCACAGCTCAGAGAAAACCTTCTTTCATAACAGCACAGTGTTAACCTGCAGAACCTACTAGCAGAAGATGCAGTGAAAGGCATTCTTTTGGATGTGGTAGCAAATTTCTTAATGCCAGTTGCTGGGGAACATGAGCAAAAAAAGTTCTGTTACCCTTGTGTCCTTCTTTTAACTGTTCTGGGGGCACCTGGCTATCTTTCCCCCTGCCTCCGGGACAGAAAGCCTGGCTAGGTGGGCCTTTTCATCTGACCCAGCAAGGCTTGTCTTATAACCAAGAGCTTCTAAATCACTGGGGGAGAATTTTTCCGCTGTTTTGATCATTAGTTACTAATTTCTCAAGTGCACACTGTATTTGAACGCTTTCCAGGCGATACATATTCCTAAATCATAAGCTCCTTTTTCTTCATTCTCTCTTAATCTTTCCATTGTGCAGCCCGTCAGCATGTTTAGAAAGGTATATTCAGTGAGAGGGAGGGAGCCTGCAGGAAAAGCACATTTAAAATTAGGACCTAGAGCAAATGCCTTGCTCTGTTTTCTGTTTGGTATCACCTCTGTTGGATAGTTGGTTGGTCTGTGGCCCTGATTGACTTAATGGACTTCTTGTCCCTTAACAAACGGGTTCTCCAGCAGAGAAGGAGATTTGGAAGCTACAAAAACAGCTGTGAAAAGCCCAGAGGCTGAGGGGGGGTGAATGAACATAGCAGAGAAAAATTGGTAGATGGAGGAAGTTCCAAAGAAGGAATCTGAACACTAGAATTACAATATAAGAGAAAGCAAGAGACTGCTGCTGGTTTCTCATTTGCTATTTACATCAGCACCAGAACTCCCTAGAAATCCTATAATGCTTCCCTCATCTTGTCCTGAGCCCTTCATTCACAATTTTTAAGTCAATCCTTCAAGTTCCAGAAAAATAAAAATTATTCCTGCTACATCCATCACAAAGCTGAAGACTGTACACTTTATTCCTGCTCTCCCCGCAGACTTTTGTGGAGATGCGTTCATGACACATCTGTCCTTGGTAGATTTATGGGTGTGGGCAGCAGGACCTGCATCTCATTGGTTCTTCACCAGCCTTTAGGTTGTTAATTGATTTCCTTCCTTCCTTCCTTCCTTCCTTCCTTCCTTCCTTCCTTCCTTCCTTCCT